TGGCTTTTCCAAAGTGCATAGAAGTTGTGTGTATTCTGAGCCAGGGACTTGTCCCAGGTCCTGCACTGTCATCATCATCATAATTATCACCATCATTAGTATCATCACCATCGTCATCATCACCACCGTCACCATAATCATTGCCATCACCATTATCATCATCACCATCATCTCCAGCATCATCACCATCACCATAATCATCACCACCATCACTGTTATCATCACCATCATTGTCATCATCACCATCACCACCACCACCATCACTGTCATCATCACCACCTCCATCATCACCATCATCGTCATCATCATCACCACCACCATCGCCATAATCATTGCCATCACCATTATCATTATCACCATCACCACCATCACTGTCATCATCACCACCTCCATCATCACCATCACCGTCATCATCATCACCATCATTGTCATCATCATCACCATCACCACCATCACCATAATCATTGCCATCACCATCACCATAATCATTGCCATCACATCACCATCATCACCATGACCACCATCACTGTCATCATCACCATCATCACCATTATCATCATCACCATCACTACCACCACTACCACATCACCACCATAATCATCTCCATCATCACCACTATCACTACCACCACCATCATTGTCATTATCGCCATCATCACCACCACCATCATCACCATCACCATAATCATCACCATCACCACCATCATTGTTATCATCACCATCATCATTATCATCACCACCACCTCCATCATTACCACCATCACCACCACCACCGTCACCATAATCAGTACCACCACCATAGTCATCACCATCATGATCATCTTACTGAAGGAAAACCATCACTCCAAAACCCTTGTCCTGGGTGGGATTGCCCCACTCCACCCCTCCCACAGTCACTCTTGTTGCTGTCCTAAGCTGGGTTTGGAGGAGTGGGTAGGGGTGGTGAAGGAAACGGAGAGCATGGTGAAGAAGGAGAAGCTCAAACCAAGTCCATGGTCATCGAGTCATTTCACAGTTATCATGGCCACTCTCTATAGGATTTCTGAGACTGTCAATCTTTACAGGAGCAGACAGCTTCATCTTTCTCCTGTGGAGCAACTGGTTAGTTTGAACTACTGACCTTGTGATGAGCAGCCCAACACTTAACCCACTTGCTTCCTTGAAAAAGAAGTGAGGGCAGAAGACAAAACATAACTGAATGTCCAAAGTCCCAGTGGCCAACTGCAGCCCTGGCACAGGGAAAAGGGTGACTGATGACCTCACTGATGGACAATAGAGTGGACTCTCAGACTACAGGGGCAAGTCAAGAAGAGCTTGCAGTAGTCAAAGGTTTGCCCTAGGAGCAGTCATGCTCCCTCCCTGCTGACCTAATGAGGGCCTGCAAGGATCCAGTGAGAGATTGTCCATGGAAAAGCTTTGCAGCAAATTAAAGATGTCGACATCCCCAGCCATACATACAAGGAAGGGATAATACCCACAAGAGATGGGTATGCTGTTGTCAGCAAAACAAGAGAGGAGGGTGGGAGAGGACTTCTCTCTGTGCTCCAGGCACTGTCACGTGAGTTCCAGAACCATGCTCACATCCCTCTGTGTTGCCTGGACCCTAGTCTCCATTGCTGCAGATATCATATCATGATAAAGCTCTTCCCAGGGCTGTGCTGTGAAATTTCAACAATGGGTTTCTGTGTTGTCCTTGACAATGCTGGAAGTAGAGTTTGGGCATGTCAACATGCCAGGAAGTGGGTCTGAGAAGAGCCTTGGGAGACCACGCTGGGCCTTGCTGTAATACAGAAAGCATTGCCGGGTGTGGCGGTGGAGACAAAGTGTCCTCAGCGTCATTCCAGGGAGTCTTCCTGCAGCTTTAATGATGCCCCGTTGGAAGGCGGGATGTGGTGGGACTGAGTGCATAGGAGTACTGGGGTTTGGTCCAGGTGCAGGTGGGTGCAGGAAAGGGAGGGACCTGGTGAAGGTGGGTTCTGGTGGGGGTGGGCCCAGTCAGAGTGGGTCCAGGTGGAGGTATTAAGGGTCTTTGTCTAGCCTTTTACAAAGGGCATTGTCTGAATGACAATGAGATTTCCTTGTTGTTGTTGGTAAGTGCAGTTGAGTCGGTTCCAACTCATAGCCACTCTTTATAGGATTTTCAAGCAGCAGCTAGTAGGTTGGAACCACCTTCCTTGTATTTAGCAATCCAGTGCTTATTTATTTAGTGCTCCACAAAGCACTAAAATAAGCAGTGTGCAGCCAACGGAATGTAGGGCACTACAGTTTCAGTCGTCTCATATGCACGTGAAAGCTGGCCAGTGAATAAGGAAGACCACCGAAGAATTGATGCGTTTGAGTTATGGTATTGGTGAAGAATAGTAAAAGTACCGTGGACTGCCAGAAGAGCAAACAAATCTGTCTTGGAAGAAGTGCAACCAGAATGCTCCTTCGAAGTGATGATGGGGAGACTTGGGCTCTGTACTTTGGGCATAATATCAGGAGGGACCTATCACTGGAGACGGACATCATGCTTAATAAAGTGGAGCATCGGTGAGAAAGAGAAAGACCCCCCACTAGATGGTTTGACAGAGTGGCAGAGGCAATGGGCTCAAATGTAGCAGCCATTGTGAAGATGGCAGCGTCTCCTGGTGTGCCCAGGGTTGCTAAGTGGGTGCTGACTGGACAGCGCCTAACAACAGCTCTGAAAGGATGCGGACGCATAGAGGAGTCCTCCTTTGCCTGCAATGCTCCCCATCAGAACTCTGAATGGCTTCTCACCTTCCTTCAGGACTTAGCTCCTATGCCTCCTTCACAGAGAGATCTCCCTCACCATCTCACCTAAAGGAATGTGGAGCACTGATGTTTAACAATGGGCTGGTGTGGCTGCTGCCATGAGTGGGTTCCGACTCATAGTGACTCTGTGTAACATTGCCAAAGCTGTCAGTTTTTCCAGGAGCAGAAAGCCTCACCTTTTTACTGCAGAGCAGCCGGTGGATTCGAACTGATAATCTTGCTGACCCACTATGCTATCAGGTCTCCTTTTAACAGATGTCTCAGAGCAAAGGTTAACTCAAAGGTAGAACTCAGTCCCTATTCTCTGCTAGAACTGTCAGGAGCTACAGAGAAGAATCATTGTGCTTAACATCATCGCTACCTGGCACTTTATGATATAATTGATGGTTGACTGGTTTATTATTAGTTTATTGTCTGTTTCCTGAGCCAAAATGCAATATTCATGAGGATGGGGGCGGGGTGGGGCTTAATTATCATCTTTTGTACCTATAAGAGCTCAGGCACATCATCGGTGTTTAATAAAAAAAATTCATTGAATACATGAGGCAGACAGACAAGCTTCCTAGTGAAAACGATAAATTTCTTGTGTTTACTGTGAAAGCAGGGACTGTGGACTCCCCAAACCAAATGCAACCAAACCTCTGCCATCGAGTAGAATCCTTCATGTAGTGGCCCTCTATAGGGCTTCTGAGACTTTAAATCTTTACAGGAGTAGACAGCTTCATCTTTCTCCCTTAGAGCAGCTAGTGGGTTTGAACCACTGACCTTTTAGTTAGCAGTCCAGTGCCTCACCCACAGTACCACTGGCGCTCCATAGCATCCTCAGTGTTACGGAGAGCTTTGGGTCGTGGCCATCCTACATCTTTCTAGAGCAGGCTTCCTCAAACTTGGCCCTGTGGACACCTGAGCTGGGTCATTCAGTGTTGGGGGGGTTGCTGTCAGGTGCATTGTGCTATGCTCACGAGTCCTTCAGCCTGTACACACTAGATGCCGGCACTAACATCCCCTCCTGCCTCGGATGTGACATTGCCAAATGTCCTGTAAGTGTTCTCTGTTAAGTGAATGAAAGCCAGGATCTCTGAAGATTGTACTTGATTCAGTGGGCTCCCATCAAATGACCCACTGCAGCTGCAAGTGTATTAATGCAGCGGCTCTGCTGCCTAATGAAGTGACTGTCTCTGCATCTTTCCCCCAGTTATGCATCCATCACATTCTAAACAGGAGGAACACAAAGGCAGTCAGTGAGCCGACATGGTCTCATAGTGAACCGCATCTTCTATTGCTGTGTTGATTCCTCAGATGTCAGCGTGAATGTAGAATTAGAAATCATTAAAACAGATAAAGCTTTGGGGTTCCACAGCCCAGGACTTGTAGCAGGGACACCAACTGTCTATCTGGTGGGGATGGCTAGAGGGTGTTTCTACAGAGGGAGACACCGGCCCCAGGACTCAACACACCTGGATAGCCAGCTTTGACCACGATACACAGGTTGCTTCTTTGAGCATCTTCCCAGGGATGGAAGAGACAAAATTTCTGTAGCCCCTAGTAGTCCACAGGACTTTTATGAGGGGGGCTCAAGCAGAGCCAGGAGGTTCAATGAGGCACCGACACCCTTATTAAGCTGCATTCTGCAGGATATTGCAAGTAGATTGTTAGGACATAGTGATACCTGGAGTCCTGGCATGGAGCTGTGGGTTAATGTGCTGGACTGCAAAGTCAGTTTGAGTCACAAGGTTGGCAGTTCAATCTCACCAGCTGCTCCTTGGAAACCGTATACAGGGTCACTATGGAGCAGAACAAATTCTATGGCACTTAACAACAAAATACAAATGAGAGGACAGGCAGAATTGTGTTAATTCTACCTACTTCCCTTCCCTTGAGGAGCCCAGGTGGCGCCATGGTTAAAGCACCTGGATGGTAACAGAGAGATAGTTGGCTCAGACCCACCAGCCACTCTGCAGGAAAACACTGTGGCAGTCTGCTTCCAGCCTGTGGGGCAGCTCTCTGTCCTGACGGGTTGATCTGAGTCGGGTTTTACTTTGGTTTGAAATTACGACTGCCAGAAAGCTCACGATCTTCCTGGCAGCCCCACTTGGCCTGGCCCTGGCTCAGTCCTGTTGCTCTTGGCAAAGGCTGGCAAGCTGGTTTTGGGAGCGGCCCAGGGCGTGAAGGTGTGTTTACGTAGGAGAGGTGTTATAGTGATGTTACTACTGTTTCTTGTTTCAGGGTGCAGCAGAAGACCCTCAGACAGTCTTGGCACTGAATTTGGACCCTAAGCTGATGAAGAAGTCCGACCCCGAGGGTCCCGCACTGCTCTTCCCCGAGAGAGAACTTTCCATCCGGATAGGTAGAGCTGGGTTTCTTCAAGGCAAGCTTCCTGCTGCAGACCCTTAGCTGAGCCGTCTAGTCTAGATGTGGATGTGGGTGTCGGAGGAGTAAGGAAGAGGGACGTGCCGGCACAGGGCTAAGCTGGCGTGGGGCCACGTGCCTTTGTGTCTCATCTGTTCTCCAAACCACCTGCTTACTGTGGAGGAGCTAAAGCCACTTGTGGGGGCTTCTTTATCATGGTTTTATACTGGAATGCAGTGAAGGATGTCTATGTGATGAGGGTCAGTCTGATGTGGGTCAGAGAGTGGAGGCGTTTGTAATGATGTATTCTGAGAGTTCCGGCTCATTTTCGTGACTTTGATCTTTTTGATTCATCAGGGAAAGTGGCTCTTTCTCCCACTGACTCAGCTTTGAGCCAGAAAAGCCAAAATCACCGGCAGCAAAGTCTTGCTTTTTCTCTTAACTTAAAGGGTCCTGCTTCTTGAGAGTGATCAGATAGATAGCACCTTCTCCGTCTCAGGAGCACTGAAGATGGGTGTTCATAGAAACTGTTGCCCACCAAGAAGTTGAAGATGGATTAGACTATGTTGTTAACCTGTCCTGGGGTATGACTCCCATGACCTTATCCAGACTCTGCTAGTTCCTATAGCAGCATTTGGCTCAGTTAAGGACCAGTTAGCATGAGGGCATATTTTGTACTGGCAGACCCCAGGGCGGGGGGAACTGTGATGTGCTCACCCCTTGGTCTCTCCACGTATTCAGTAGACCGTGGTCTTGGGAGCTAACACCAGGCAAATGTTTTGGGTAAAGGCATAGAGTACTGTGTCTAATGAACAGAGAGCAGCAGTTTGGTGGCCTGTCACCATGTCCACAGGAGTGACTTGCGGGGAAGCAATCCTTGCCCTTTTCACGCTGGCATAATGGGATAGTCCCTCTGTGTCTGGGCGTCGGCCATCTCCAGACCTCGGGAGCATAACTGTAAAATCAACACTGTTCTGCTGCAGCCAGCTCTCAAACATCTGGGTGCAGACCAGGGCTTCCAAGGGGTTCATTCTCATTCGGCCCTCTGCTGAGAATTTGCCTTCCCACCCTAGATATACAGAATCCCCAGAGGAGTCTTTGGGGGTGATTCTTGTTAAAATGCAGATTCTGATAACAGTATCCCTGGAGTAGAGACACAAACTCTCAACATTGGGTTGAACTGGAATGAACTGGTTCAAAGCCCTGGTTCAGAATTATTCACGGGAAATGTCTTCACTGGAGTTAAACCTTTTTGTCTCCACAACTTCTTATTCGGAAAATAGTCGGTAAATAAAAATTCATCCAACACAAACTCAAGTCATAGAGGGAAACATCTGCTCCTGCCTCCAACTACAGTTGCCACCGATTGGAATGTGGTTGTTGTTGTTAGGTGCCGTCGAGTTGGTACCGACTTGTAGTGACCCTATGCACAACAGAATGAAACATTTGTCGGATCCTGCACCAACTTCACATTTGTTGCTGCCACTGTGCCAATCCACGGAGGTCTTTCTCTTTTTATCCAACCCTCTACTTTACCAACATGATTTCCTTCTCCAGGGATATTATCTCCCGACAATTTTTCCGAAGTGTGAGAGACCAAGTTTAGCCATCCTGGCCTCCAAGGAGCACTCTGGCTGCACGTCTTCCAACAAAGATCTGTTAGTTCTTTTGGCAGTCTATGGTACTTTCAATATTCTCCTATGATACCATAACTCAAATACATCAATTCTTCTATGGTCTTCCTTATTCACTGTCCAGCTTTC